ATTCGCATCGAAAGTTATTGTATAACTGGCGGCATAAAAAAAAGCAGCGGCGTGAGAAATACATCGTATATATCTTATCGAATTCGTTTCTGCCTCTATATATAGAATAAAGGGCCGAATACCGTGCCGCGCGAATAAAAGCGTTCTTATTGATTTGTTATTCGGCAATTTATAGAGAGAATGCGTCACGCCTTCTGTCACGCAAATGGCGCAAGGGATCATCAGGATATCCGCTATTTCCACTCGTTTCCTTTTGTATCTGTATTCGTGCGCTCTTTTGACGGTATCGACCTTCTTCTCTCTCTCTCTCTAAGTGTTTCTCGCGTATTTGCATGTCTATAAAACCTTTTAGATATCCGAATCCCGAGATGCCTGCGAAATTCGATTGGCTCGATTTGCCTGACTTTTGCGTATACACGCAACTCGATCTGATAGAGCGTTACAAGTGCGCACACGAATGTATTGAATTGTGTATATTTTACCAAATTTTACCAAATTTTTTATTTATTAAGACATTTCTCTCTTTTTTAATCATGTCTTTATATCGTGATTTTGATATTTTTTATAGTTTGAATCAGATATTTGTTTTTTTTTTTTTAACCAAATGTTATTGTCGATTAATTATTCAGCGCTTTAATAATGTTTCTTCTTTCTTTAAAATCACATTTTATATGTCAGTAAAAAATACACACACAAAACTTTTCGAGCAAATATTTTGTCGACGTACACGTGTGTGCCTTTGATTTATTTGCGTTATTATTTCGTTTATATCAACCGTTTGCATTTTCATTATTCGTCTATCATGTAAATAGAAGTTTAGATATCGAATTCTTCTCTCTGTTGTGTAGCGATATCTCGTTCAGGTTATATCCGTATCTGTAACTTTGTGCGCCTCAAACAAAACGCTTCGCTGCAATTAATAGGCAGATGTTGAACGCAAGTGCGCTTGTCGTAATTAGCACCGGTGCGGCATGTATCGCTAACAATTCGTACGATACTTGAATGCCGTAGAAATGTCTGTGTCAAGAACGGTAATTATTCTCTTGAAGCCGTTTCAAACACTATTCGTTGCCGTAAGCGCCAGTTACGTATACGAAGAGCAGCAACTCCGAGAAACAGAGAGAACTTCAGAAATATTACAGAGCACAATGGAACGCGCACGCGATTTTTTGAGTTTAAATAATTAAAATTTCTCTTTTATGTTACTCTTTACGTGTACATAGTTTTCACTGTAATTTTTCTTTTACATGTTACATTAAAAAAAAAAAAAAAAAGATTATAAAGGTTGTTAATCTTGCTTTGCAGTTTCAACAAAAAAAATAGCCGATAAAAGTGAAAAACTTAATATTGCAAATAATTTTTATCAAATAAATAAATACAGAATGTTTTTTTACATATTGTTCTGATTGCGTTTTTGAGTGCTTGCGTAAATAAAATGCTTTTTAATTTTTTTTGATGAATTGTTTACTCAATTTTTGCCGTATATATATGTATATGTAGTTATAAAATACAATATCAACCAAATGGCTGCTTCTGGCGCAAATGTGTTCTTTTGACTACATTTTTCATTACATTTTAATATATTTCTTTGGTAATTTAGACGATGCGCAAATGTTGTATTTGAGTTGTTGAATTGTTTGTTTATACAGACTCAAATGTTTGCATATCCACACAAAAAAATTTGTTGCGCTGTTAAATCAGATAAACGGGGTGGCCAATCGATGTCATCAGATTCTGACATTATTTGTTCAAAAAATGTTTCGCGCAACATTCTCTATCGTAACGCGAGCTGAGTGCGATGTCATATTGTCCTGTTAAAACTACATATGTTGCAAACTTTATTTATCACTTTCAGGCAAAACAAATTTTGCAGCATTGTTCGATATTACGTAATTTTCATCGAGTGTTTACAATTGATTCACATTTTAATAAAAGTTTTTAATCATAATCACGTTGTTATGAGATGTCAAATTTCTCATAATAAATTATTAGTGTCAAAACACTAAACAGTCAAATTACTGCAATGCCAATGGAAATGGCGGCAATCGGAACAATATATAAAAAATATTCTGTACATATATATATATATACATGTATATATATATATATATTTGTATATATAATTTGTATATTACATATCGATGGCTTAAAGCACACATGTTGTATGTCTACTTTTCATCAAAATTGAGTTTGCATGTGCAATAAATAGCTCTTGATAGTTTCTTTATGTTGTATAAATATCATATATTTATATATTTTATAAATATGTTAAAATTAATATATTAAGTCTACCGGAAAGTTTTGTCCGTTTTTGAAATAAAACAAAATACAAATTTTTCTTAATTTTTCAAAAATGGGATATACAAATTGCCCTCACGCTGGCAAGAAATCATTAATAATAACGGCAATTATATTACTTAATAAAGTTTATTGACGGTAAGAAAAATTTGTATTTTGTTTTATTCCAAAAACGGACAGAACTTTCCGGTAGACCTAATATTTTAAGCAAACGTGCACAAGTCATCAATGTTGTATGTCCATCTTTTAGGTATTTTTATTGCATTATTTTAAGTAATTTTGATGAATAAAGTTTATGTTACTAAATAAATATTTTCAGTAATGTTTGTTTTACACATAAAACATCCTTTATATCACGTAAAAAGTGTTTCTTCAATTTTAAAATACCATTAAAATTTCTTTGAACTCGTTTTTCTCGGAATAAAACTGGACATACAACATGTGTGCTTTAAGCCATCAATATATCATTACGTTATAAATTCATATTATAATTAAACTAAGAATTATATTTTTTTTGTAAAACTTCAAAAGATGCGCAGTTGAAATTTCACTATATCCCTTGTACAGTATATAGTAGGAGGTTAGTTGTATCTTGCAAAGAGACTGTAACTGTAACTGAACTTCTATCGAAGGAAGTAAAGTGAGTATCGAGTTAGTGGTACCTGGTACCTCAAAAGAGCCTCATCATGAAAGCGACGTGCAGCGGAAAAGACAGAAGATCGGCGAGAAACCTTTGCCCTCAGATAACTTCGTTAAATGTAGTCGTTAGACACCCGAAGGTGTCTTTTCAGGTTAAGACGTGCCCCAATTTTCACGCTAATTGCTGACACTTTGATAATTCGCGATCAAAGTGTTCCTAATGGACGTTGATTTTGAAAGATTGTCAAAAATGATGAAGATATTAATTGAAGCAAAATATCTCGCATAGAATTTTCTATTGTCTCAAAAAATCAGAATAGAATATTAATTTTTAGATTTACAATATCAATTTATAAAAATAATACAAATGAAAATTTTCTTGTGCGCGCTTTTCCGCTTATTGCTTCCAAATTTAATTAGTGTTTAGAGATGAATCTCAGTTTTAATTGTTAATTAGTGTTTATTTATATATAAAAATACTCAATACAGCACGCACGGATCTTAATTTTTATCCTGAGACATTTAATAATGAAATTAAATATCACATTAATTAACTCTTCGTGGACAGACTTCAAAAACGTTTACTAGTTAGAACTGAATCTGAGACCGACGCGACTTTAAAATCGAAAATCTTGGCGAAAAATCAATATTTTTTTCAATTTTTGTTTTCAAATCAAAAGTTGAACAATTCTGCGTCGATCAAAAAAAAAAAGAAAAAATCTCTAGTATTTTCAAAGATATAAGCGTTTAAAAAAAATTAACTAATTTCTACTAGAGACACTGGTTTGAACATTTTTGGGTGTGTCTAGGAGACCCAGTCTGTTCAACAAAGAGTTAAATGAGTACAATTCAGACAATAAAAAAGTCGTAATGTGCAACATTTTATGCCTGCGATCTATTATCATTTGACCTATTATATACTCTGTAAATTCCCCGCAGCTGTTTCGTAGTTTAATAATAACATTGAGGTATTGATATCGAAATGTCACGTCAATGGAGCGGTGTACTATTGACTCGCGCCTGAAAAAAGCCGCAACCTCTCGAGAAACAAAAGAGTTAGTGCGAGCGTTGCGTCACACAACACAGCCGAGAGCAAGATAAGCAGCGTTTTTCCGCCCCCGATCCGCCGATGTACTTCCGTTCTACGTTCCGTTTCTCGCCCACCCCCCCGTCGACGAATCTCCTTATCGTCACTTCAGCCGCGGGGAATGTGATTAAAATTCCTTTTAGCGACGAACTCGGCTCTCCTCTCTGTCACGAGTTCGGGATGTAAAAAGCACAGACGCGATCGACGGCAAGAAGGGGTGTCGAGAGAAAGAGGAAGACGACGACGGGAGACGACGACGGTAGTTTGACTGTAGTCGCCGCAAGTTCGCCCGAGCTTTTAATTCGCGATAATACCACCCGTTTACCCTCGTCGTCGTCGTCGTCGTCGTCGTCGTCGATTCGCACCCTGAAATCTCGACTAATTTCTCGTTTCGCGCTTGGCCACAATTTTCCGCCGCGAAAGGCATCAAAGCGTCTGGAAACTTGTCGCGATATAAGTCATTTTGAGATTTCCACGTAAAATTATTCTTTTTTTTTTTTTAATATACCGCGAGAAGTACATATACACAGCACAGATTATATTAAAATGGTATTTAAGAAAATTAATATATGTATTAGGTCTAGCGGAAAGTTCTGTCCGTTTTTGGAATAAAACAAAATATACAAATTTTTCTTAATTTTTCAAAACTGAGATATACAAATTGCCCTCACGCTGGCAAGAAATCATTAATAATAATGGCAATTATATTATTTAATCAAGTTTATTGACGGTAAGAAAAATTTGTATTTTGTTTTATTCCAAAAACGGACAGAACTTTCCGGTAGACCTAATATATGTGGGGTTAGGTGGGACACATTACGGAAAAATAAATAAATGTAAAAAATAACAAATCTTAGCAATAATAATAAAATCGCGAAACTTTATAATCGCGAATTATATATTGATGAGTTAATGTAATTTTTAGCAGAAGTATACGTGATATGTACATACGTTTTTATATTCTTTTTCTTTGCAGATTTCTTCGATAATCTAATGGCAATCACCAAGATAACCTTGCACGACATGTTCAAGAAGACTTACGGTGCCATTTATGAACAAAACGCTTACGTGTTTGCGGACTTTTTTAAGGATCTGGAGAATTATTACACGAAGGGAACGGTGGGTCTTATTTTCTTCTCTTATCACACACAATTTGTGTCAATTTAGTTTGTTTTCGTTTTATGAAAAGAAAACTGCTTCTTGTAATATAAAACAACTTCTTTTTATTTTGTGAAAAATAAATTTTCTTAGGTATTACACTCTTCTAAAAAAAAATTGAGCGATTCATTTGCTTGTTTGATATCGCACGGGTGCTGCGCTCGTTGGTGAAAATTGCAATCGTGTGCTTTAATTTTCCTGTTTCCTCTCAGTTCCTTCTTCATCCCTTTCTTCGTCTGGCACATTAAATGCGAATAAATAAGATGGCAAGCTGCGAAGAAAATTTCTCTAACTACTCGAGGCATGGTCTTGAAATTTAAAAAATTTATTACAATCCGTTCCGCTCAATTACGCTCTCCAAATTACGCTCTCTCGGAATATTGAAAAAAATAAAAAAATAAAAAAAAATAAAACAAAATGGCGTAAGACTTTCATATATATTTTGCTTAATATACAATTTGTAAAAGCGTCGCAGGCTGCGCGCTTGATGCAGTTACATAAAAGAAACAATTTCTTCTCGGTTCACTTGTGTGTAAAACTCGATTGAAATAGAACGACATAAGTGCGGAGCTGTTATTGGAATTCACTCACTGTAATTTGACATACGACACGATATCTCGATTTTCGAAAGAGAAAAATCGCGCGCGTTATTCGAATTCCGAATCTATTCTTCGAAACTGTCGACTCACGTTATCGAACGCAATAAGCGATGTGACGTAATGCATTTAAAGCCAATTTACATTAAAATCGCGACGATAATATCGCAAATTTATCATCAAAAACGTCAAAATCGAAAAGGAATTTGACATTTTGATACGTTTTTTTTTTTTTTTGATATAGTTATTATTTGTTTAAAATATGTTGTTATATATTATACACATTATACCGTCTGTGTGTTTCTCTTGTTTATATCCAGCCTGCGTTTTTGGAACCGGAATGGAGTGGTGGAAGTTCGCGTGCGAAGGCGGATATAATCAATGTGTGCTTTTGATGTCAGCATCGTTACGATAAAGAGACTCCCTAAAGCGAAAATAATACCTATCCTCCCGAATCTCTTTCACAAGGGTCCTCCCACCGCGCGTCTTTCCGCGTCTTTTCTCTGCATTTAACCTACCTATCTATCAGAAAAGAGCTTCCTGCAATTATAATACTGCAATCTATTGAATTTTCCGAAGCTCGCCACCCTCTTAGGTCGGACTCGCTTCTTCGGGTCGTCTCGAGAGATGGAATTTAATTTTACTTGGAAACACGAGTCGCGTCCGCTATGTTGTTGCGTCAGGAAGCGTTGTTATTAAACGAATGAACGAATGAAAAAATCCAACGCGCGACGAAGGTTCCGATAGGTGAGAACAACATCAGATGCTTTGGATTGTAATTAAATAAGAAAAACAAAATGTTCGAATAATGAAAAAAAAAAAAAAAAAGTGCGTTACGCGACGCGTCAGTAATGTTATGTAATATGATCGCTTGAGAAACAAACAAAAGACTTAAGGGGATCCTAAACTGACGGTCGAACTCCGTCAATTTACCGACTGAGTTTACAGCTTTTGGCGTCAGATTGTAGTAATATTTGCTTAATATAAAAAGTTATGCAGTTTGTACGTAGAAAACCAACTGCGTCCCG